TTTTTGGGTCGCCTGAAACTTGTCAAATTCGATTTTTGGGGGGTCCTATGAGGAAAGTGTAAGAGAAGTCATTGACTTGTTACTGTTGCACGTACAAGTCTTGAGATTACCTGCCTTTTCTGGTATATATATGTACTACTTATGGCAAGTTAGATAATGGAAAATTTATTTTTTTTTAAATAGGCCCTAGATGCCTTTGTATTCCAAACTAGTACAGCACCGTGAAATGTACATACCATTATTACCTACTTTATTTTTAAAATGTGTTTTTGCTACAAAAATTCTATGGAGCGATCAGATGGTTTACTTTTGGAGCCATCCATGACTTAGTGTATTGACACTTGTCTAAAGTGCATTTATTGTAGGACACGTGTCAAGACACTATTTGTGAATAACTGTAGATGGCTCCATAAGCCGAGCCATCCGATGACTCCATAGCAAAACTGGTTTTTGTTATTAAAGTATTTAATGGTATTAAAAATATCGTGAAAATAAAATTTATATATTATTGAACACTTTCTTATATACAACATTCTTAGTTTGAATATTTGGAACGTGAAATACTACATGAGTATTCAAATTTATCTAAAATTGTGTATTGTTAGTTATTAATTAACAAATTACATTTATAAAAAAAATTAAAGGATCTTATTTATTAGACAAATTCTAGCAGGAAGAAGTGGAGATTTTTTTGTGTTTTTTTTTGCGCCATATTTTTTTAATTCTAACTGAAAATTTCAATTAAGTAAAATTGAAAAGAATCATTAATTTATTTTTCTAAAAAAAAAACCAAATTTCTCTACCAATACACCGATTTTTTTTAACCAAAAAAATTGATCCGAATGTTTGGTTAAAGCAAAGTGAAAAGAATCATCAAATTTTCTTGAAAATGCAACTAAATTTTCCTAATATTGTTGCATTTTTTTTAACCAAACAAATTGAATTGAAATTAATTATAATAAAATATTTGAATATTTTCTTAAGATTTATGCAATTGTTCCTTTTCTAAAAAAATTGATATGAACTTACCAAAATCTCGGTAAAACATGGTTAAGAAAAACATAAGAATCCAAAATAATCAGTGAATTCAAATTTTGAAAAATTGCACACGATTTGATTTGAGTTTCTTTCCTAATTAATTGGATAAGATTTGATTTTAAATGTCAAAGATGAACCAATTTTGTTACCAAAAAGTAGATATGATTTTGAATGTATATCTCGTCTAAATTTTAATTTTGTTTTACTATAAAAATTGCAAGTGATTTTATCCAATTTTTATACATTTTTTTTTAAAAAAAAAAATTATTCAAAAAGATTGGAAGAATTTGTATCCAAGTTGTATGGTTTTTAAATTAATTTGTATTTGTATTTGTTTTCATGAATCTCCAAACTTGATACCAAAAAAATAGGATTCAGATTTTGGCAAAAAAATGATACGAAAAAAATTGGATTCATATTTTAGCATAAGAATCTCCAAATTTGTTAAAAAAATAAAATTTATATTTTGTTACTAAATATCTACATGTGTTTTTTTTTCAAAATTTCTACTAATAATAAGTCAACTCATTTATTTTTTTGTCAAAGTTACTAAAAATGATTTCACCAACAACTTTTTTTATATTAGTATAGATGTCACTATATATCAGACAAAAATTTAGAATTAGTCCTATAATTTGGTCACTTTCTAAAAATCAATCCCGTCATAGGTCACTTTCAAACTGGGTTCAATAATATGTCAATTTAATCAATTTTGGTCATTTTTTATCCATACCCTGGATAAAATGTGACATGGCGTTTTTAAATCTGATCACATGGTGTGATGTGGCGATTTCATTTAAATTTAAAAGATTTAATTATGACAAGTAGAAATAAAATAAATTTTGGAAACAGGCCACAAAATAAAACAAAAAAAGGGAAAAAAAACACCAAAACAGTGGTTGACACTACACAAAAAAAAAAATAAAAAAAATAAAAAAAAAATAATAAAAACTCTTACATTCTAACGAAAATTTTTTGTTGGAATTATTTATAGTTTCCGTTGGAATAACTATTCCAACGGATATTCCTACGTATAAAAATTCGTGGAAAAAATGGCTGTTGGAATAGCTAAAATCCAACGGAAAATCCTATGGAAATAAATTCCTACAGCTATTCCAACGGAAAAAAATCCGTTGGAATTCCTCAACCATCCAACACTTATTCCAACATAAAATTAAGTTCGTTGGAATATTCATTGGAATTTCCAGCGAAAATTTTTGCCGTTAGAATTTTTTCGTTAGAATTGAAGTGCTTTCTTGTAGTGGGAGGTCTTGTACCTCTAGCAACGACGAGAAAATAAAGAAACTGTAGCAATTTTCTTTTATTTTTTTTTAATTTTTCTTTTCAAACAATATTTATCTCATAACAAAAAGAAAAAGTACAATCGGAAGACTCACCAGTCTTTACAAACAAATGGAGAATCACACCATCAAGGTGGCCTAGACCAAACACCAACAAAGTACTAAAGGCATAGACAATGCTATGAGACCTAAAGCACCACCAAACTAAACCACACAAAAAGAAAACAACACAAAAAGACCCCCAACAGAGTAATGAGAACGACCCCCAACGGAGTAATGAAAATTGAGGCCAACGGCCCAAACCAAAAACACAAGTCCTATACGACACACAAACAGAACAAAACGAACAAACCAATAGAAACTAACAAAACAAAACAAACAAAATGGAACAAACGGAGCCCTTCCCCGACGAAACGAAACCAGCCCAACCAGCAGCGAACGATCGACCCAAGAAAGATTCAAGGCCCCGAAGCCACTACCGAAACTGCAGAAGGCCTATACAGAAGAAACAAACTGAACCCTAAACCAATCCCAGAAATCAACCCGTCTTTAATCGAGAGAGCCACAATCAACCCCCACACAGACCTCACCCTAACTCATCTAACACCACTAGACAAGACGGATAGCATTGAACCCTATGTCGCCTAACACCACTAGTCGAACAGGAGGGTGAACGAAGATCTAACCTTCAACCCCACCCCAACCACTGCAACATATATGCCGCAGCCATCGGGGTCCCTCCCCACCCGAAGACGCACGCCCCTCCCAGAACCACCATAGACTTCCGAAGACTAGAGATCGGAGTCCCACCTTAAGGCGGAGCCCCACCAAAAAAGGCCAAATCCCACCAATGCAGACGAGGGCGAGAGAAAAGGGACTTACCACCTCCTGTCAGAAATTTGCCTGCGTCGGAGGAGAGAACTCCAAATTCAGGTCACTCGCCATCCGGGAGAGGCGCCACCGCCGCAAGAAGTCTCGTCCGCAACCGTGAACAAGAACCCCAATCGCCGCCATCCACGGGGTACCAGAGATTCGCAACGTCGGGGGAGGAAGAGGGCGGTCAAGGACGGCCACTAGCTGGGATTACTTCGACGTCGAGGAAGGCAATTGATCGGATTATGGAGAGAGTTCGTGGCAAGGGTTTTTCTGTAGAAGAGGGTTTTTTCGTTACCTAAACAAATTCAATTCAAGACAAAAAAATTTACAAGAGGGATGTTTTGGGATCAACATCTTTTTTTATCAGGTAGGCTTGTTGCTTGCTTATTTTTAATTTGAAGGGGAATTCTGTTATTTATTTCTTTAAACGAGAGACTTGTTGGGACATAATATTTGTGTAATCCTTAGTTCTTGGTTCTTATGATGTTTTGAGTGCATTGAAAAAATGTGTAATTTTTATTGCCGGAAAAAATAGTTTGTCGAAAAAAATTGTTAGTGTCATAGATGGGACATCGTCTGGCACGCGGCGGCCCAACGAGTCTGGAGGTGTTCTCGAATTTTGGTGGGTGGCTGTGAATAGTCAGAAAATTAAAGATTTTGACTAGATTTTACTAGATCTAAAAACTTTGACCAAAGCAATTGACGGCCTTGCCGATGAAATTTTCAACGGTAATTTTAAGGGGTGAACGAGGATGAGAAGAGCGTCAAGATGGTATAAAGAATTTTTCGATCGGAGAAGTCGACGAACTGTTGCCGGCGAACGGTGACGGCGGATGGTGGAGACTCAGTTTTTGAAAATTTTGAAATTGCAGGGGCTTGTATAAATTTAATAAATTCTATGGACTATTTTGCAGTTTAAAAAGTTTTTGTTAGTTCCGACTACGATAAAATACAAGCCATGTCAACATGTAATCCCTCCACATAAACTACAATCACGCCATGTCAATAAAATACGAGTCATGTCACGCCATGTCACATTTATCCAGGGTACGGATAAAAAAAGACCAAAATTGATTAAATTGTCAAACTATTGGACCTAGTTTGAAAGTGGTCAATGACATGGTGGATTTTTGGACAGTGGCTAAATTATTGGACTAATTTTGGATTTTTTCCCTATCATGTGATTTTCATGTTCAAGTGGTTGCATATACATTTCTTTGGGCCGAACTTTTTTTTTACTCCATTATATACATACTCTTTCTTTTATACTTTTCCATACAAAAAATTCTTTTTTATCCCAAATCTCACAAAATGATATGCAATATTGGTAGTGTAAACGACCTCAACTAGGTTGAACGTCATTCGATCCTCTCTCGCCCGGTAAACTGACCTGCAAAACAGCGTTGGGGTTGTCCCGACGTAAAAGCTCTTAAGCTCAAGTCAGTTTTTTTATGAAGAAGGTAATGTATACAAATGTAAGTATAGAATGCTTACACTGTGTAGAATTGTGATGATCGTACCTCACCTCTTTATATATACGTGTTATCTGTTGTCCAAGACTGCCCAGTTGGGGTACCCGAGTTACCCGATCGTAGTGCCCGTGTGCCCCAACTGCCCATTTTTCATTAGCCCACAAGGTGTTTTCCACATGTTCATATCTTTATTATATTATTTAATATTTAATACATTAGTCTACCTCTTTAGGCAACCTAATTGTGCTATTAGTTCGGTTTCCTTAGAACTAGATCGCTCTGACCTTCAACAAGTAACTCTTAGGTTGTACATTCAGTTGCAGGTCTCCATGTCGAGGTTCCATCAGACTATCCAAGAGCCTTACCTCAATTTGTCTTCGTGTTGCTTTATCTGTGGGGTCAACATCGACCAGGTTTTTTCACGACCTCTAACATCTTTGCTATTGATCAGCCTACCGGTTCAGTAAATTCTTTTTAAACTGTTATTAAGTCGTACGCGATCTAATTATGTTGATATGGTATCACAAATCATTTAGTCCCTCCACTCTGGTCAAGTAAAGATAACTGAATCGAAGATTAGAACCAATTATCCTTAGTTATATTCCATGAGCTCGCGGCGTGTCTAACTGGGGCTATTGGTACCCTCACTTTATCCTTTGCCCAAAGCAACCAGTTCGACCTAAGGACAAGGTCCCAAAGTCCAATTTCAAATTCAAACTTCTAACATCCTTTCAATTCAATCTTACACCCCTCAGATCAGCGTAACTATCTCGATTCTCGTCCTTTTCTCAAACGACGTGCCATTATGTTGCTTCAATCTCGTCCACCTGCTTTTAATTTCATTGAACAATCTTGATCGACCTACCACTTAAAATTTCCACTTTTAATCTTGTCATTCAATATCGACCTTTATCTAATGGTCCTAATAGACCACCTCTTCACCTTCTCAATTTTCAGTCTGATTCGTCTCTTACACCCTTCATCTACGATTGAGGTCGGCTGACCTCCAAAAACTTTTTCCCCTTCTCCTAGAAGACTCTTTACCCCAATTTTTGTTTTTCCACATTTGCTAAAATGTTTTAGCTATATAGTTTCTACAAGAATCTCAATTTCTCTTGCCGCCACTCCGCCGATGACAATCGCCGTTGATTTCTGTTGCCGATAAAAGTCCGATTCAACTATGTCATTCAGTAAGTCTTTTTTTTCTTATTTTGTGTATTCCTTTATATACACGCATCCCAAATTTAACCTCGTCAAAACATTTATTTTCTACATTTTGTGTTTTTCACTTTTTAGATTCTCGCATGACCATCTACTCATTTTTGCCATTTTTATGGACACATGACCTCTCCGTCTTCTTTTCCATCCTCTTCTTATCCTTCATTTTCCACTTCATTCCTCCCTTGAATGTATTCCTCAACATGCGCTTTTGTCCTCTCAACATCATCGCGTGGTCGATGAGCTTGAGGAGAATATTGATTCTCCTCCTCAACATGCAGTGGGACCTAGCTAAAACCCTCTCACACGAGCTCTTCCACGTGCTCATTCTCTCATTGCACTACTCATGGTTTAGTAGCTCTTAAATGTAGCTACTTGTTTAGGTTTGTTGACCAATGAAATTTGAGCCAACTATTGGGGAGATTTTCTTAAGTTAAATCGGTTGAAAATAATTATAAGAGGTCGAATATCATGAAGTAAGTATATATCAGCTTGGATTTTGTGTGTTTCGTGTGTATTTATTGAACGAATCCATCTTATGTCGATGTAAAATAAACGAGGGGGTATTTAAAGTGCCAAACATTCATCAGAGTGTTGTAGGCTAGTACAGTAGCATTAAATGTTATTCGACAGCGACTTCCATTTTGCAGAGTGGGGGGCACTCTTTTATTAGTGTGTATAATTAAAGCTTGGCTTTTTACATAATGAACACTATCTTTTGTTTTTACTTAGAGTCATGTTTAATTAAACTGTGTTATGTTCTAATGTTTTACATTTGAATATTGTGGTCCATCATGGATGAGACAGAAGATCATGTATTGGTTACAAGTAAAACATAAATAAGTAGTTCACAGCCTAGATGGAAATGAACAACCCATCGTGAATGGTTGTAGTGTTAAGTGTACATTTTATCTTGACTGATTGGTTACACTAATAAACTGTGTGCAATGAACGGATCCCAACGAGGATAAGTTTGTTTTTCATTGATCGGTAAACAAACTTGACCTCGGTTTATTACTGGCACTCTTAACCTGTAAGATATAGACAGGAACGTGCATACAATAGCTGCTACTTTGATTCACTAAAAGTCTGATGTTCGATTATTTACCGTCACCGTGTGGGATAGTCTAATGATGTCCCCGAGATGACCTCAAGAAAGATTGTTATGTTAAACCCTGCAGTTGGATTAACTTCCGACATAATAATAAAGCTTTGAGTGGTACAAGTCTCAGCACAATAAGTAAATTAATTATATTATTAGTAGTTAATTAATTGGTAGATATTATATCTTAAACACGGGTAAATAAATCGAGTAATCATTATCAGAGCCTTAAATTATAATTTGGGAGGCAAATAGGAAGTCGACAGTTTTTATTTAGTAGACTGAAGAACCGTTCAAGTATGAGCATAGTGGGCTTGGCCCACAGTTAGACCCATCCTTGGTAAACCCATATTTGGGACATCCATAGGGTCCCTATTATAGCGTATAAATACACACTTCTGCTTTTGATTTTAATCAGTTGATAGAGAGATATCTTTGTGAGTTTCCCACTAAGACAAACAAGGAGTGTAAGGTAATGCAATAGACGTTCTGAGGTAAACCTGAGACTCTCGAGCCTCGTGTTCATTGGTCGTCGCCGTGAGCCCCAATATCTGTATTTTGCCACCGTGCTCAGCTTCGACGACCGACGACCATCGACCCGAGCCCATCCACAACCCACAATGCAGAGCCAACCGCAACCAGCTTTTGTAGCCCACGATGTGCCATACCTAGCGACCAGCGACGCATGCCTCTCTACGATTTCGACGAATTCAATACCTCTAGCGACAAGCATCAATTTTCTTCGATTGGTTCAGATAATCTCCTTCAAAGAAAATTAGAAATGTCTCAAAGTCTGCATATTTTTAAGTCGTAAGTGTTCAAACCAACTTTAGTCCACTACACTTTAGGCTTCATTTTCATAGATTAGATCTGTGACTTGCATGAAATACGACATTCCTAATAGAACCTCAACAAGTGGTACTAGATTAGTGCACTTGGTTTAATTTGTATTTTGTGTTCAAGGTATGCCATATAATTGTTGAATTATTATTATTATTTCATAACTCGGTTTTGCCAGAATTTAATTACTCCACTGTCATGCCTTGAACGTATGTTTTAATTTGATGCATGTTTTTTAATGAAACTCACACATTTTATTATAAACGATCCGATGTTTTGGGGGCTTATTCCCTTACAGAGCTGGAGAAAATAAATGGGGAGCGTCAAATCCCTACAAGTCCACAGTACTACAAGTACTTCAAGTCCATAGAGTCCAGTTTTTCCTATTTCTCGTACTGCACTTGATATGTTGCTTTTTTCTGGAAGAGTTGGTGTAAGTCTGGGGGCAAAGTATGGGACAGAGTGGGAGGGCAAAGCGATGATTGGTTTTTAACAGTAGTTTGGGGCGACAATAAGTCATCTTCAAATTCAGAAAAGTGAAGAGAGTGGTTTAGAGAGTCCAGTTCAGAATCAGAGCAAGACTCAACGATCACTGAGTTGGACTTAGGTGAACCTGGCTCCAAAGAGTTAGGCACATTGCCTGGTCCCGCCTCAGGGAAAGTATAGGGGGTAAAAATTTGGATCGAGGAAGGAACCGGGCGTAGTAAGGAGGGTTTAGGTGGAGTCTGACCAAGCGGGGATGCCAATTTTACGGGAGTGGGTATAAGAAAAGGGAAGAGGATTTTGGTGGGCTAGCGGAAGGTGGGGACGAAAGAGAAGAAGTGTGGGGGGTTTTTTCCTTTGTTAATTTTGGGAAAGGTTATACCCAGATTGAGGTATAGGCTATGATGAGACCTTTTCGCTAGTAGCTATGCTTAAGTCTATTCGGATTTTCTTGGTTGTAGCCGCTCATATGGACTGTGAGGTCTAGCAGATGGATGTCAAGATGGCTTTCCTTAATAGTAACCTTCAGGAAGACATCTATATGCAGTAACCAGAGGGATTCATTGCTGAAGGTCGTGAGCATCTACTGTGTAAGCTTAATCGATTCATTTATGGATTGAAGCAAGATTCAAGGTCTTGGAACATTCAGTTTGATGAGGTGATCCAGTCGTACGGGTTCACTCAATGTCCAGATGAGCACTGCGTGTACAAGAAAATCAATAGGAGCGTGGTGGTGCTTTTGTGCTGTACGTGGATGACATACTTTCTATTGGAAATAGTAAGAAGGAGTTATCAGACGTAAAGGTGTGGTTGTCTAAGCAGTTTGATATGAAGGACTTAGAAGAAGCGAGACACATTCTTGGTATTAGGGTCGTTCGAGACCGTAAGAAGAGAATGTTGTGCTTATCCAGTCTTCATACATAGATACTATCTTGGCTAGGTTCAGCATGCAGGATTCCAAGAAAGATACCTTGCTTTTGAGGAAAGGAATCCCTTTCTCTAAGGAGTTGTCTCCCAAGAAGTCTCAAAGATTGAGGACATGAAAACAGTTCCTTATGCATCGGAAGTAGAAAGTTTTATGTATGCTATGCTTTGTACCATGCTAGATATCAGCTACGTCGTTGGCTTAGTAGCTAGATATGAAAGTAATCTGGGTAGGGAACATTGGTCTGCAGTGAAGCATATACTCAAGTACTTGAGAAAGACTAATATGTACATATTAGTTTACCGTGCAGATAGCTTGTTACCTCTGGGTTATAGTGATTTTGATTTCCAGTCAGATAGGGACGAGAGTAAGTTAACCTCAGGTTATGTGTTTACCTTGGGAGGTGGAGCCATTTCATGGAAGAATGCTAAGCATAAATGCGTAGCAGACTCCACCATGGAATCCGAGTACATAGCAGACTCAGAGGCAGCGAAATAGGTAGTTTAGCTCAGAAATTTCTTAGTGGACTTAGAGGTGATTCTGAGTTTGCAACGTAGTATCACCGTGTACTGTGATAACAGTGGAGCAGTAGCAAACTCAAGGGAACCACGAACCCATAGAGCAAGCAAACACATAGAGTGCAAGTACCATCTGATTAGAGAGATAGTTGGTAGAGGAGACGTTGATGTTGCCAAGATTGCATCTGAGGACAACCTAGCTGATCCTTTCGCGAAGAGTTTGCCGGTGAAGGTCTTCGTCAAACACGTGACTAGAATGGAAGTCAAGTGCATGGCGATAGGATCGACATAAGTCTTTTAGAATAACGGATTGATAGAAGTATACTTGTAAAAGCGAAAGCTTTAAGTATAAGGGGGACATTGTTAGTGTTATATACTGAA